TATATATATATATATATATTTATCGTAAAATACAGCAGGAATTAATTCATCAAGCAAATTAATAGAATGAAAATAACTTTATTCGTCGAAATTTTTTTAACTTATTTCCAAAGTACAGTGTTATAATTAGATTAAGTATAATTTCATCTCAATATTCAAATTAATACAATTACAAAGTTATGGGTCTTTTATAACTTGATACACATAACCTGTTGATTTATGTATAACATAATTAGTACATATACAACAGGATTTCATTGCAATATTTAACTATAATAATCAGTTAAAGTTCAATAATCTTCAATTAACACTTAACGGACGGGCTATGTAAATTTAAGTTTTTGTTTGAATTTTTACGCTTCTTACGCTGCATTAGTTTTTCATTTTATGTACATTGTAAGTTATTGTGTTATCTTCCTATTGATTAGGAAATCAAATATTTCTATTATTCGAAATAATGTTGATTTGATAAAATTACAACGCTTTAAAACCATTTTATTTTTATTCTCCTAAATATTCCCGAAATCTCTGGGAAAGTAAGGATAGATTCGAGCCGTCCGTTAAGTGTTAATAAACATTAACAAATTGTATCAACTCCAACAAAATATTTTCTCTAAAATCCTTTCCTTTGTTCTAATTGTAGCATCACAGCAAACCAGTCCGAGGAAAAGTTTAATACCACAACCAACCCAACGACGACGATCGGTATCGTTGAGTAAAACAAGTGATGAAAGAGTTTCACCAAAAATTGGGCGTCGAGGGGACCAAAAAAATTGGTTGAGTGTTCATGGAAGTTTCGACAACGTTAGTGATTCTCGAAGAGGTAATCTTGTTAACGATGTGTCCAGATTGAGACGAGATCGATCAGGAAAAATACCAAGCAAACTTTCACCAATCCGAGGTACCCCAACAAAAGTGGATAAGTCAAACACCCGACCAATAACGAGAGATCCGAAAAATGTGAAAAATCTTCAACGAAATACAATGACTGGGACACCCGGTGCACGTTTTATTTCTCCACCAAAAAATACTCAGAAAAGGGAAAGGTTCATAACAAACGATGACAATACGGTACCTTCGAAAACATCCAAAATACCATTGAAAAACAATGGATCCAGTAAAGTTTCATCCAGTATCAGCATGCCTGAAATGTCGAAGAACAAGAAAACCGATGACAGTGAACAAATGATCGAAGTTGAAGAAATGAATAATGGAACTAACCAGGAACGATCAAGCAACGATAACATCAATAATAACGATCAGATCGGTTTAACGGATCTTTTGAAAAGAACTTCTGGTGTAACTGGTACGTCAAGTGTTGTTAATACTACAACAACGACAGCAGTGCAACCTCTTCGTATCGATAATTCAAGAATTCCAATAGATTCAACGAAAATTGAAGGACAATTAATTGACGTGACGAGAAAATCCGAGTCGTCGGTGTTGAAAAATGATACAAACGGTAGATCAAAATTACAGGGTGGCCAAAATGAAGAGAAACATCATAGAAAAAAGAATACGACAGGTTATGAAACACCAACGAAAACAAACAACGAACGTTATTCGGCAACGAGCAAAGAAGGAACCAGTGATTCTTCGGCCAGCTCGAACAATGCAATTAAATCACGTTTGAACAGTGGACGGATAAATAAAGGTTATAATCGTACGACTAGTCGCGAACGTCTCGATGGAAAGGAAATTGATTCTGCCAGTTCTAAAGGTTCCAATTCGAAAAATCAAAAGAATATGAAGAACAATAACAAACGAGCAATTGTTGACGAATTTTCACCAGTTTCAAATACTTCTTTGTTAGAAGACAATACCAAACAAATGGAACTCGAACAAGTCAAATTAGAAAGGATTATTAACGATGGAAAATCCAATACGAATAACGACGTGATTTTAACTACTACGGGCAAGATTGGTGGAAATACGAGTGGTCTAATTAACAATAACAAAAACAACAACGATGGTAATTCATCTTCGAGATTAAACAAATTAGCTGGTAGTAAAATGCTAACTGAAGCTACCGTTGAAAATGAAACAAAAGAAAAGGTTAACGATCAAAGAGAACATAATTTGGGTTTGACAAACGACACGGAAAGAATAACTGGAACAATGTCGTCGATGAAAACGGGTAATAACGAGACAACGAATTCGACAATATCGCGAACTAATGGAATTTCTGTGAAATCCGTTGGTGACCCTGCTACTATCGGGAATGTTCCTATTAAAGGGTCTCAACGTCGAAATAATGAGAATCATGATGAAAATACACTACAAAGATCATTGACTCGGCTTTCAACTGGTTCGAATGATAGCGAACGATCCACTGATACTGGAGTTAGTGTTGATACTGTTAAAGGAGTTTCCTCACCGAGAGTGAAAAGGGGGATGCATATCGTCAAACGACCGGATGAAATCGAAACTCTGAGTGGAAATGTCATGAGACCAGAACAAAATGGTGACCCCACGTAAGTCTTTTTTCTTTTTAAACTATTACGTTAGATTATAATTAACGATAAGGAATATTACGTACAAATTGAACACTTTTCTTTGGTATTACGTTGTCGCGTGACGTAACAGTTTACGTGAATACTTGCGTAAGTTTTAAGTTACGCTCTGTGATTGTTGAATCGTGATTCTTTTTATCCTATCTATTAGTTAAGTAAACGTATATTTTATAAAATGCAATAATTTTGATTAGGTTAATCAAACATACGATTTGGGATTAATAAAAATGTCATTTCGTAGACACTGAATTATCTTTTATCATATTAATTAAAAGATCGGAAAGAATAATATTGAATTATTTAAACAAATTTCGCGTTGTTTTGCATCATCGATCGAACACCAAATAAAACTAAAAATCATTATTAAAAAACAAAAAGCAAATAAATTCTTGTTCAAATATCTCATTATGACTATTTGATTAGGTTAATCGAACATACAATTTGGGATAAATAAAAATGTCATTTCGTAGAAACTGAATTAACTTTTATCATATTAATTAAAAAATCGGAAAGAATAATATTGGATTATTTAAACAAATTTCGCGTTGTTTTGCATCATCGATCGAACATCAAATAAAACTCAAAATCACTGTATTAAAAAACAAAAACAAATAAATTCTTGTACAAATATCTCATTTAAATATATATAATCATATCGACTAGTTAAGTAAACGTGTATATTTTATAGAATGCAGTAATTTTTACTATTTGATTAGATTAATAGAACATACGATTTGGGATAAATAAAAATATCATTTCATAGGCACTGAATTATCTTTTATCATTATAATTAAAAGATCGGAAAAAATAATATTAAAAGAAACAAAAAACAAATAAGTTCTTGTTTAAATATCTCATTTCAATATATATAATAATATAATTATCTCATTCAATATATAATTCATTAATCTCATTTCAATATATAATATATATACAATATATTTCGATATATACAATATATATATATAAAAAATAAAAAAAAAGAGAATAATCATATGAAATAAAATAAATATCGTATCAAAGAACCGTGATAAAAGTTTTAGCGAAAAGAAAACGAGCTAACTTGCAAGGAAAACGTACTAGCGGTTTTGGTTTACGGTATCCTAGTCATTAAAGGGGTCTAGTGGGGTAAAGGAATAGAAAGTTACGATGTTAGTAGAGGATGAATCCAACAACCTACGCATGCTGGTGTTAGATTGTTAGAAGTTCTAGGGTTCTTTAACCTCTGAATAGTTGTAAACCTCCGCCTTCGGAAGATCGATCGAAACATACGAAGTAGACTCCGTATCGATCCACAACGAGATTTACATGACACCGCATGAACAAGTTTCTCGTATGAACGAAACGGGAGATATCTTACAGATAGATCTAACAGCATCTAACGAACTTATCACGAATATATTTACATTTTACGTTAACGTTAATTAGTTTGCGAATTATATTTCTTTTTTTTTTCCCTCTCTTTCTGTATTCCTTTTCTTTTTTTTTTTTGCTTTACATTACCAACGAAGAAATGTGGGGTGCAAGAGGAAGGCAACGTGTGTCGAGTGGTTTTTGTTTTTATTAAACAATTTTTTTTCTCCCTTCGATCGGAAGAATTTTCAATTAAATTTCTATCGGAGTGATTAATCATTTTAACTTTGGGGGGGAGAGACTGGGGGATGGGGGAAGAATAAAAACAATCATGATAAAGTTATCAACGATCTTATTGCGTACACGCAACTAATTTTTGTAGTTTTATTTCTTTTGAAACAATTTCTTTTTCTTATACGTGGAAAAACAAATTGTCGTTTCGTAGAAAAGAAAATTATGTTCTCTGTTACGAGTATAGGTATAACTGATGTATGACACATGAGAAAAGTAAAAATGGTACGCGTATTTCGGATAAACGTATAATAAATGTGTTGTTCTATTTTAAAAAGGAAAATCAATTTTGCGATTCGATTTTTTTTTCAAGGTTTTATAAAATTAAAAATTAATCGTTAAATAAAAAAATAAATTATAACTTATAAATTAAATTATATAA